ATTGACCTCGCATCCCTACAAAGCCGGGACGGAGCACGCCGGGTTCTCACCGGACCAGGCTCCATAGCACATCGCCAAGCGCGAAGCGTCGTGGGGGATGGTGCACTCACGTAAACGCATGCCGAAGTCGTTGGGCCATTGGCCTCGCGGCCGGGACGGAGCGATATAGGGAGGGGCCCATGGCGCTTTGTTCTGAACCGTGCGTGCAACAGCGCGGCGGGGGGGGGGCACTTCTGCTGTACTGCTGCTGTTCTATCCTCTTGGTTTTGTTTTGCGACGTTACGGTACAGTGAACACTCGCCGTAGGTCCAAACTGTATGAAAAATAATCTTGCTCGGCACACGCTTGTACGGCTCTCGACAAGCTCTCGGTTTTCGGCCGGAAGAACACGTGGTCTTGGCTTTTGCCTCGACCGTGCACATTCGCGGTGTGTGTTGCTTGGCTGCTGTCTGTCTTGGGGAGGAACGGCATAGAATCGCCCGCCTGGCGAGAACTCCACAAGACCAAAAGAGCAACACACCGCCACACTCCGCGCGAAAACCACACGGCTCGTGATCTCCGCCTTCATACTTACCCCACCCTTCCGGCCACCGCCGCCGCCGCCGCTGTGCCGCCTTTTGTCGTGTAGGTTCGGTTGGTGCTGCCGGAGGGGCTGGAGCTGTCGAACCTGTTCTACTTTTGGCTGGCGAGCACGCTGGCGAGGTACCTGGGCGCAGGGGTGACGATGGAGGAGCGTGAGATCTTCAGAGAGAACGTGTTCGGGTTGTCCCTTTCGGCGACCGGTCTGTCGGAGGTGAGACAGGGAGACAGAGAGAAAGGGAGGGAGACAGAGAGAGAGAGAGAGAGAGAGAGAGGGAGAGAGATAGAGACAGAGAGGGAGAAAGGGGGGTAGACAACCTCACTCGACTGTTCGATCAAATCAGAATATTTGTTGCAGAAGAGAAATCTAAATTTGCTGGGTTTTTTGTGTTATTGTTGTGCGCAGGTATAGGTCCCCGACGTGATGTTTCCATATTAAACCGTCCGTAGGGACGGGGTGTGTGTGTACTGACCGCTGCTATTGCTACTGCTGTTGTGTGGTGCTTTCGGTGTTGCTGGGGTGTTTTTTTTTATGTCAGGACGATGCAGCGAAGCACCGCAGTAGGTGATGGCGGAAAGCCGTCTCGTTGTCATTAAATTACCCCGCAGAAAGACCAGAGATGTACAGGGCTGTGTGTGTGGGGGGGGGGGTTTCTTGAATCGGCACGGCGAGAGCGCGGATCAGTAAGTAGGCGAGAAGAAGGTGCTGCTTGTCCCCGTCGCCTCAGGCAAAAGCCTTCCCGACTCAACAGAAGAATACAGCAGCAGTGGTGCCATGGTGCAACCCGTGCGTTCGTTCGCGCTGCTGCTGCTGCTGCTGCTGCTGCTGCTGCTGCTGCTGCTGCTGCTGCTGCTGCTGCTGCTGCTGCTGCTGCTGCTGCAGTTGTTGCGGCTTCGGCTGCCTGCACCACCTGCCGCCGGTTTGCCCGATTTTTTGGTCCGATAAATGGCGGCGGTCGTGGTGGTGGTGGCACACCCACAGTCCATGACATTTATTAGTGTTTCGTGTAGTCAACCGCACTGAGACTGGCGTATTTTCATCGTTCAGTCGGTTAGCGCAGTCGATGCTAGTAATAAAGACACACACACGCACACACACAGGCAATTTTTTCTGTTTTCAACCGCTCTAGGATTGACTTGTTTTCATTGGTCATCTGGTCAGCGCGGTATGCTAACAACAATGAAACACTGCCATAAAATAACCCACACAGGTTTCCGGCGTGCCCTCGTCGTGGGGAGCGTACGAGGCCGCCGACAAGAAACGGCCTGTGTTCCACACCCTCCCCGGGGCCAGAGGGACCGCCTTCTTTGGCTGGAAGGTAAGGGGGNGGGGGGGGGGGGGGGGGGGGGGGGGGGGGGGGGGGGGGGGGGGGGTGGTACGAGTTGAGGCTGAGGTCAAAGGGGGGGGTCGAGTGCTGGTGTTAAGGTGCTGAGCGGAGGTCTTTAGTAGCGGAAGTCTTATTAGCGGCTTTTAGTGCGAAGGCGGCGATGATGACGACGACGACGACGAAAGGAAAGGGCTGCTGGCGTTTGTACCCCCCCAGCGGGCACCTGATGCCACCGCTTCTTTTCTCGGAGCCGGTTGCCGTCGTCTTTTCCGCCGCCGCCGCCACCGGCGGATGGAGCTGTGGTGGGGCGTGCGAGGCTTGTCTCGTTAGCCGCAGCTCGTGTACATACACATATCCCGCTACAAAGACTGGGTGTTTTCATTGGTTGGCCAGTTAGCGCGGTCGATGTTTGTTAAGAAAACACAGGGAGAGAGNGGGGGGGGGGGGAGAAGGACAGTACACGTGTGGAGGTGTGAATTTGTTTTTGGTTTGGCTTGGAGTGTGCCTCCCATGCCATGCCATCGATTTGTGTTTGCGTTCTATCTTGAGCCGGAAGAGGCAGAAAGGAGGAGGAGAGAAGAAGTACGGAAAAGAAGACGGGGAGATTTCGTAGTGTATACTGGAGGAAAAGGGCCGTATCGACGACTTCGACGAAGGCGACGTAATGATGAAACGTTCCCCGGCCCTGCAAGGCGCGATCGTTGTAGCAGCAATCTTAGCCCGCGACACGTCATCAGTCCATCATGAACTCTTCCACCTCTCCGCGCGCTTGCTCATGAGCATGACGTCATCGCTTGTTTTCCTCGGTGCTGTTCGCGGTAAAAAAAAAAAACACTGGGACCGCGATGGCGCTCCTGGACGGTGTTTTTTTTTTTCGTGGGCAAGTGGGGAGACTTCTCCGCATTCATGGACGCCCGAGCCAGAGTGCTGGAGTCTGGTTCGTGGGAGGTGAGGTCAAACACCGGGGCCACTTGTGTCCTTGTCCATGATCGTCGTCGCAGCCGTGTGTTCGCAAGAGAAGCGAAAGCAATGTACGCACGCACAAATGCATGAGGCAGGCGAGGAGTGCGCGCCTGCTCCTCAGAGGTTGTCAGGGTTCAGAGTCCGGCCTCTGCTGGCCAGCCACGACATGGTGCTGTCTGTTCCTCCGGGCGTGTGTTTTGTGTTCTCGTCCTGCGGTAGATTGCTATCGCAAACAGACGTGCCAAGCAAACAAACCGCGGCCAAGTTACGGCGATTAATCTCACACGCGTTGCTGTTTGGGCCCCCCTTTTTTCCCTGTTTGCGGGCGCCGAGCGGAGTACAACCACGGCTTGGTTTCGGTACATGCACGCGAACGAAATGTATCCAGCGTATGTAAGCCGTAGATAATAAGTTTGTCTGCGCGGAGGTCGAGGCTGCTACAAGGGAGATCGTCTCTCTCCGGGGGGTTGTAATTTAAAACACCGACAATCCGCCAATTCGGTTATCCGCATGTAAATGAAATGCCCCGTCAGAGCTGAAAATCCTCGTGGGGGAGGGTGGGGGGATCAAGGTATAGGCTTCGGCGTTTCGGCTTTGTCCTAGCCGTCAGACTAGCCTGGGTTTTTCTCCCGCCAAACCTTACCCTCCGTCTGTTCGGCGTATGACTGAAACCCGTGATCGTAGAACCGCGCATTCCAGCGCTCACCCCACCCAAACGACTAGTATGGCAAAGCACTATTGTGAGCGCGCCCGCCCCCCAAACCACCAACACCCGATTACCCTCACACTCGGCCTTTCACTGCTGCCGCCATCGCCGCCGCTGCTGCCGCTTCTGCTACCTCCATTGCCGCCGCTACTGCTGCTGCTTGCTGCTGCTGCTTGCTGCTGCTTGCTGCTGCTGCTGCTACTACTACTGCTGCTGCTGCTACTACTGCTGCTGCTGTGTCGCTGCTGCTCCTGCTACCGCTGCCGCTGCTAACGATAGGAGGGCGAGGCACTGGTACACGTCCCGGGGGGCGAGGTGGCGCTCTCTTGGGCCGGGTCCCTCGAGCGGTTCCTGGCAGAGTTTTGCCACGGCAGGGGCCTCGGCATCCTTCACCCGAACCTCAACGGGGACGTGAGCTTCGCCCGACAGTTGCCGCCATCCTCATCTTCCTCCTCTTCCTCGGGTGGCAGCGGGGGGGGAGGGTGGCTGGAGGAGGAGGAAGCGCTGCCGCTGTCGCAGACGGCCCACACCCCGACGCCGACGCTCAGGGGGACGGATGACGGCGGGGGGGGGCGGGAGCCGGAGGGGCTCGTACTGACGTACCGGGACGCCAATAACTTGATTGTGAGTCAGTCGCGTGTTGAGGTTCTTCTTTTCGGTCAGATGTACACCGCAAGAGGCGTAGATATGGCATCCCCCCTAGAGCGACTTTCAAGCGTCGATTGCTCCACAGCCAAGGGGGAGCGGCAAGAGCCCGATACGACTCCGGAAAAGCCCTCGACGAGACGTTTCCGAAACGAACATTCTTGATGTAGGTGCAAGCTTGGTTGTGGAGCAATGGAGCTCTGAAAGTCGCTCTAGGGGGGGGGGGGGGGGGG